TATTTAGAAGAAATTTGGATTAATTAATAGTAACACCAAAATTCTATCTAAAGGATTTTATCCTTAGGAGGAGTTAGGACCCACTTAAGTTCCATTTATCATCTACTCTCAAACGTGAGTGCAAAATAAAGGATTTGGAGATACAAATGTAAATATAAACAAATATTTAGTTACGTGGTTGGATTGCTTTGGCCTTATAATTGAATAATTGATTGGTACAATTTGTAGGATATACTCAAGAGAAGGAATTCGTGACACGTCTCCATCTACATAGATTTCCACATATGATGTACATAAGTGGTACAAAATGTTGGACGCTTGTCTTCATTACGTTACAACTACAAAGCACCTTACCCTTTTTATGTGAATTTTCCACCACCGCTTTTTCCTCAACGTTAGTGTGGACATTAAAATGGTAATTTTTTAAATCAATATTAAAAAGATGGGCGTGGATTGCTTCAACCAGAAGCTAATGAAACTGATCGTCAGGGAGAAAATTATAAATATTTTTGGTATAACTGTCTAAAATTCATTACTCCCTCTAATTTATAATATAAGGTACTGGTAATTATTTCACGATATCAAAAGAATAATAAATAAATGAATAATAAAGTTGAAAAAAAAATTATAAAAACTGTCAAATGGTTTTATTTTAAATGAAGTAAGACTTTTTAAAAAATAGCAAATATTATGAACACGAGGGAGTATATTGGCATAACGTAATATTTTAAGTTTTTTTTTTTGTAAGTTGCCAACCTAGTATTTCCGTATTTGAGGTATGATTTCCTTAAGGACGTTTAAAGTATTGGGAACTATTGGCTATTTCAAGAAGAGAGGGGCAAACTATGACGACTGAAAAATTAATATTTTCAAAAGAAAAATACATCCAGATCTCAATTCAGCTTTATTTTGATAATTTGATTGTAGTGTTTACTTTCTTTTCAATCTACTTCCTCCATCTTATATATAAAACATTTTTAATTGAATTATGCAAATCAATAAAAGTTAATTATTTACTTAAAAACATAACATATTACAATTTTGCCTTTATTATGTAAATAAAAAAATAAATTTCTTTTTTCAAAATAAATTTAAAAACTTTCGTTTTCTTTTCCAATGGAATAGTTCATTTATTAAAAAAAAAATATTACTAACATCCTCCTATATTTAAGGACAAACAATATTCTAAAAAACCTTTTATGTAGAAATGGAAGGAGTATCATTTATCAAATGGATTGTTGGCATGTGTGGCGTGCTGTTTAATATGATAAATTTCTAATTACCAATAAAAAAATAATTTAAAAGAAGTCAATACAAACAAAACTTCATCACAGTACAAATCATACCCATTAAAATCATCACTATTCACAAGCCACTGACTATTTACAAAAATGGTATAGTAACAATTGATCAATCAACAAATCCGATATTGTTTTATTACATTTCAAGCAATCAAGTTAAATAAGAAGAGCAAATGAAGAAGAATTGAAAGGATGATGAATACAACGTATAGAAGAGACTTCAGGTATGAATGCCAACAAATTAGTTCAAAAGTCCCTTTACCATTATTCAAAGACCATTCAAAACAATAATTTTATACATACACATACATACATATGGAGCTGTTTAAATAGGATGGAACAAGGGCAAGAGCCTTCGATGGCCCATCCATATGTCCCCATCAGATTCAGAAAAGGTCGCTCATAAATCTCTTTCGCCATTCTGTAATTATGTGTATTGAAGAATAAACACAATATAAAGTGCATTAAAAGTCAGAACGAACTTTGACTACGATGTCTAAAGTTTCATACATATCAACGTAAGCCCACCACCCAGACCCAGTACACGGGATTGGAAGTTCCTTTGAAGCAAAGATGAAACTGATAACATGTGTGTATATAACTATATATATAGATATATTAAAATGACAGATTTACAAAAAATATCCATGACAAAATAAAAACGAAAGACAGAACGGGTAGAATGCAATCCATGTTTGAAGCCTAGAGTCTGATATTGAAATTGAAATTTCCAATCTGAGGCGTGTTTGACCCTAAAAAGGCTACAAATGACATTGCTTTCTGCTTTGTGGATCATACTCGTGTTTGGCACTGTAGAAAAGGTATGAGTGGGAACCAGTGTTTGTTGTCTGGGGAACAAAGTATCCCACAAAGGTTACCCACCCCTTTTGATACTACTTGTCCTTTCCATTCACCTCCCTAACCTTCTCTGTCTATTTTCACTTGAAAAGTAAAGCTGCTATATTATAATTATACTACCTCCTCTCTTCTTTTCTGTTTTTGATTTCTCTACTACTCCTTTTTTTCCCTTCCTAATATCTGTGTATACCTGCAAGAAAGTGGACTTCAATATCAAAACTTGTCACGTTTAATTTAATACAATGCCAACCATCATAAAACAAAGCAAGTATGTCTACAAGACCCAACATTAGGCATGTTAGCCATTGATGATAGTCACCGTCAATTCAATATAATCCCATTCATGCATGCATTAAATGAACGTGTAGATTTGAGATATGTTAAGTGACACACACATTCATGTTCTTTTTGAATAAATGAATGAGTAAAAACAGTTTGATTTGAGTCGATGTGATGCGTTATCCGTCGAGAGCAAGGACCAAACAAGAAGACATACACGGCGATACAAAACCTTGCAAAACCGTATTGTGGTTGATGGAGCACTAAACAAGAACTCCAAGGAAGTCAAGGAGCAGGTGTGGGAATGATTGGAATATGGTCTCGTGATCAACTTTCTCTTCTTTTATGACCCCTGAGAGGGGCCACTTTTACCCTCTCACCTCATTACAATCACAAAAGAAGATCTTCAATCTAATCTTTTTCGCTTTTTGTTAATTTATATATTTAAAAGAATCATGTACCAGGCCTGTGATGCTCTGTTTTACTTTCATTGCTCACTCACTCACTAAATTCTAGCCAAAGTTCCATGCCCGACACCCTTTTCGGAAATCTACGTATATATCCTTTATTTACCGAAAAAATTATGCAATTAAGAAGTTTCTTATATGGGGCGCACCGAAAAAGAATAAGGAAACAAAATATTTTAAGAGATGCTTAACTTATTAAATTATGGAGATTCACTTGTGTGTGTGAATTACAGAAGAAAAAGCATGCCGTCTATAACAGTTCATAAATTATTGAATGGACCAGGTTCAGTGTTCTTCAAAGAAACAAAGGATTAGACATTTACATTGTGCGTAAGGGAGAGAGGGATGCAGCCATATCCAGAATGAGCTTAACTGCTTAAGTGGCAGTGGGACCAAGACTAGAGATGAATGATTTCGGCCATCAAGATTTCGGTCAAAGTTACAATTTGTATCTTAAAAGAAAGGGAAAGGAATACAAAAAATATGTAATTATGTAATTGTGCAATGGTTCCTTGCGTTAGATTTATTTTATTATTTTTTATTAATAAAAATTTCGACATTCGTTTATATTTATATCTGTATTCTCTTTTTACTTTTCCATGTAATAGTTCTCAGTATGGATGAGAATTCTCTTATTTGAACATTTTTTAGGACAGTACCTTGAGAGGCGTGCCACCGGATTATGGGTTAAAAAATATGTCGAGTGTACTTTCCAAAAATAAATTTCCAGGCTTCCCTGGACCAGATATTTACACGATTGTCTTTGCTATGAATTCTAGATAAACTTACATTTGTACTATTTTCCGTAATAAATAGTAGTATTTTAATTAATTTAACATAATTAGCTAGTATCAGACTTTGTTTTTGTCTATCCCTTCTATTACTTTTTTATGTGGTCCTATTTCTTTATTAAATTTAATAATATAGGATCCATAATTTCTTAACCACCATGCAAATTGCATTCTAGATCTAGTTATTACAAGAAAAGCCCCTTTCAGGACACAAATAATGTATGCTAAGGGGATGCCCTCAAATCCTCAATAATTCCTACAAAATAGTATTTGATATAATAAGTTTGACCATCAGCATAATCCCTTTCTTCTGAATTAAATTACCAGAATGTGCCCTCCCAAACTAAGAGTGAGAGTGTCGGTGGGTCGGCAAACCAATTCATCTCTTTAGCTATATTTTAGACATATAGCAACAATAACAGTAAGCCTCCTGCCGTCTTGTAAGGTTTGTTCTACTGAACAAAAAGAAAAGGACAAGACAGTGCCCTCAAGTACACAGAAAATAACAAAATTAACACCTGTTCCTGATAAAGTTCTTTACTAGTCAGTAAATTGCATTCAAGCAGAATTTTGAGTTTTTATTTTTTCAAGGGCAATCACACAGTGGCTGAAGAGACCAATTTTTCTGTAGTTTGACCAGTTCAACATCCTACCATCATGTCTCCATGGCTCCTTTAGGTGCAAGGAAAGAGAATAATTTTATCTTTTTTTTTTTTTTTTTATTGTCTATTATATTTTTACAACAACTGTTTGAAAAAAAAATTATCATTTTTTAAGAGAGGTCCCCCCCCCCTCATGTTCTTGTTTTTTACCAATCAGTATGGCAACCTTTTTTTCTCGGGTAATTCTCATGTTCTTTTTTTTTTTTTTTTTGTACCAATCAGGTATGGCAACCTTTTTTCTCGGGTAAAATAGCTTGGTCACCTTTATCTAAAGAACAGGCAAATGGGTAGGCAACTCGAAGGGCATTAGTTCAGTTGGTCCACCAATTTGCAAGTAACTGATGAAATGGCTGAACTACCTCTTAAAACTTGATAATGGGAAACCACAAGGATTTAACTTCTTAGGCCTTAGTTATAAGGGATTTGATACCATGTCATCTCAAAAAATCAAAACATAAAATTGAAAGTCCATTTATAATTATATTATAATCTTTTGCTAGACCCATGAAAAGAACAATGAGATAAGAAAAGAGTAACACCAAACACTGCTTGAGGGTATGTTTTGTTGTGTATTAAACAATTAAATAATAAAGTTCAAGGGAATGCTTGGTTGCGTTTTAAAATTCACATATCAAACCAGAATGATACCCTGAAACATATATTATGCTTCTGCATTTCAGAAATCGTTGCAAGCAATTCCATTGTTTTTTTTTTTTTTTAACACACACACACATATAAAATCGCAAATAAGATGCATTTCCTGCCAGATCATATATCTATATCTAATCAACGGGTCCACTAAACGCTTTATTTGAAAGGATGGATAAAAAATGATGAAGGTAACCCGAAACAAAACAACAGAGACTGCTTACCTGTTCTTCCCTTAGGTCGCTTTTTGGGTAGCTTGCTTGAAAGCAACAGTGGGAGCTATTCTGCAACTCCTCCTCTGATGCTCCTGCACAAGTTCTCCAGCAAAACCAGTCAAGCTTCTCAAAGTTACTCTGATCCCCAATCCTCTTCCCCTCAAACAGCACTGATTCTACGTTCTTCTGCTTCAACATCTCATCTGCTATCCCTAACAGCATCTTTACATTGCTAGGACTTGAATCCGTATCCACGTTGGGTCCACATCGCCCCATACTTGACCCATTGCCTGTCATTTCATAAGCATTCAGAATTAACCCTTAGTTTATTTGATTTACTGTCCAGCAATTTTCAAGCCCTAGATGTATTTGAGTTCGTGCATAGTATCATTTCAAGCTAATTTCAAGCCCTTTGCGAGCATTATAATACTACAGGAATGCAAAATGAGAGAAAATTATGAGATACTGTTAGTAACGGTCCAGTTTCCACAGAAAAGTAAGATCAGGTCAAATACACATTCTAGTTGGGGTCCATTTGACATGATTATGTGTATATTTACGAGTATGATTAACCCGATGTACCAACAAATTTCTCCTCTAGCTCTCTTCTCTTATGGTTGGCTCAAACCAATTTGAAAAAGACTTTATTAGTTTACCGTTTTACCCAGAAAAGTGTATGATACTATAACGGCTCAAACAAGGAGAAAATCTGAACTGGATAAATGTAGCTAATGCCCTGCAATGAGCAATGCGACAGTTTTGTTCTAGAGTGAGAAAATAACCATCCATGTGGCAGAGACCGCACGCCAAGTGTTCCACCACACATAATCAGCTTAACAACAAAGTGAATTATGGAAAGCAAGGCCTTTTAGCCATTGAAACAGGCACATTAATTCCTAACTCCCAACAAGTCCAAATCCAGCTATCTGCCCCCATGCCTATCAACTTGCTACGTGGAGACGAGGCGAAATATCACTCCCTTACACAAACCCCACTCCTTGCTGGTATGAAATTGACTGAAAATGAATACCCTTAACGTTTCTGGGTCTAACATTAGATGGCCTTTCCTCCTTCTGGACAACTTCAAACTCATACTCAGTTATTCCATACCCTAAGTTCGGCGCAAGACTAGCTTCTTGGCTTCGTGTGCGCGAGCTCGCTCTTACAAGAACAAATTTGACCCATACTCATCACCTGCACCAAAGTTCCATAACAAAAAAGCCACCGTTTGATGGGAAACACAAGAACTCCTCAACCCTCGAGCCAACCGAAAGAGTCTTGATTGGTTCCCAATGGAAACAATCCCCAACGCTACCAACACAATCACGTGTAGCCCCCTTCGCAAAAACGATAAAATAAAATCCTAAAACCACCCCGTTCCTCAGCTATAATCCTAAAACCACCCTTGTTTCTGTACCGCATTGCAATATGTTTAAGAAGGATTTTATGATGTAGACCTACACGAACTGTACAAATCATCACTAACAAATGAACCTTACTTCTGTATTTTTTAAATCCTTTTCTTTTTATCGCAGCCTTACATCATGAATGAGTTCAAAGGAACAGGGTGAAAATTGAAATGCATATATCTAACACCATCTGATTTCAAGTGTAGGGTGTTTTTCAGAGTGACTGGCTATTTGTGAGGATTGAACCATGTCGAAGAAGCCAGAGCAATGGACAACTTTGAGCCAAATAAAGAGACAAAAGGACAAAAGAAAAAGAGTTTTTTTTTTTTCCCCCAATCGAAACAGAGTAAATTCGGGAATGCATACCTGAATACGAACATAATTGGAGGTGCGGCTCTGGCCAAAGGCCTTGGCCACAGATTGGTCCACCAAATCGGCCGAGCCATCCCCAGAAATCCGAGCCATGGGTCGAGCCCACTCCTTGGCCTTCCAAAGCCTGACCTGGTCATACTCATACCTCGCCTCCAACAGCTGACCCGTTCCCAGCGATAGCACCAACAAATCCTCCACGCCTCGAACGAACGGAAATTCCTGCTTGTTGTGAAGCACGTGCGTTATGGCTGCGCTGGTCGGGTTGCTCATCGCCAATCCTCCGTCAACAGCCAGGCATCCGGTCTGACCATCCACTGATCGCATCTGAACCGGCTCGAACCGGCCCGGTTCGGCCAACGTGGCACGACAAACCTCCCAGAGCCGGAAGTCGAAGCTATCGGTCTCGAGTGCGTCTGCTCGGGAGAACAAAAACGGCGCGGTGCTGGATAGGTCGTAGCAGGGGATGAGGACGGGTTTCAGAGTGTCTTTGAGTGTTAAGCTCTTGCCGTTGACGGCGAATGCTTCCTTCATGGCCTTCTCCAGACCGGCGGTGGCGTGGCCGATGGAAGCAGAGCGGCGGCGCCGCTGGAAAATAACCGACGAAAGAAGCTGCGGCTGCTCCCGGCGCTGGGACCAGGATGGTAGAACTTTTGGCCGTGATCGGCTAAAAATTGAACGTGTTTTTGGCTTCGAAAATAGGGCGTTGGTGATCCTTGGTGGCGAAAAGCATCGCCGTGAAAATACCTCCGACGCCGGCTCCGGCTGCTACGTCAAAGTAATCGGCGATTCTGGCGTCCGGATTTCCTGATTTCTTCTTCAATGCATTTTCCAAATAGGCCAGAGCTTTGCCGGGAAGAATCCCTCGCATGCCGCCACCATCTATGCTGAGGATGCATATTTTTTGCCTCTTGATTCTTGATGGAGGAGACGCCATCGGCGGCGTAAGACTGAACTTCGGGTTTTGGTTCAATTGTCGCAGATATTTGCTTCGGAAGCCAGACCTTTTGGTCATCGTAGCCGAAGAGAAACTTGCTTTCAAGGATGGAGAAGATTTCATAGCTAAGCTTATCGGTGTCAATGCTCGGTTCTTGCATTTCCCACCGCATTAGAAGCCATATTGTCCCCAAAAACACAACACAATCCTGCGAAAATTTCTATAATAAAAGCTTTTCTGATTAGAGCCTTGAAATCAAATAAAATCAACAATTTTCTGGCACAGGATTGGGCATATGGAAGGCGTGGTGTTTGCTGGGCCAAGTCTTGGTGTGAAATATTGCAGGGAAGGAATTCCAAGTCAGGTGGCAAAGATCACACACCTCGCAAGTGACGGGTATCAAGAATTTTCAGGGGGGAAATAATTTTCCGTTGGGGATGTTGTACTTGAACTTGTGAAACTCAAAATTTAAAACTGGTGTTCGGAATCAGAACATTCCGAAACACATTACCTCATTTGACAACAATGCTCAACCAACCAAGATATACCTTCAAAGTAGTCTCATTTAGCCAGCTTTCATAATCAATTCCTGTTTCCCAAACAGCAAAAGGCCTCCTGTTGCAGAAATATAATATATTCTCGCAGAACCCAAACACTCGCTTTCAGCCCAGTTTAGCTGCTGTGTCAATCATTCCATTCTCTCCACAAGAACAAAAAGAAACAGAGCAAGAAAGGCAATCAAAAAACAGAATAGCCCTTTTGTTCCTCCTCTCTCTCTATATATCTTTCTCTGTGTAATTCGTTGGTGCCTGTGCTGGTAGTGTGATTCTTTAGCAGAGCACGCCAAAGCTAAATAGCCGAGAAGCCTCTTCTAAATGCACAGGGACACATGAATGTAAAAATAAAAAAAGGAGAAGATGAAATGCAAAAAATAGGCAACCAACCAACCATCAGCACCAAAAACAAAACCAGAAAATGCCAAATCACCAGAGGTGCGCAGAGGCTGAGTCAATCACTCAGCGCCTTCTCTCTCCCCTTCCCCCACCCTCCCCACCTCCCCTTCCCTCTATATTTATATATTACTCTCATCGTTTAAAAAATAAAATAAAATATTTTAAATTAAATTTTATTTTTTAATAAATAATATTTATTTTAAATAAATTTGATTTTTTATATTTATCTTTATTTAAAAAATTTTTTACTTTAAAATAAAAATAAATAATTATTTAATAAAATAATTAAATAATAATTAATTTGAAAATAAAAAAATAACTTATATATTTAAACATTAATTCTTAAAAAATATTTTATATTAAAATATTTTTTAATGACTGAATATATTACAATTTATATAGACCCCAAACTATTTTTTTTAATATTAATCTTCTTATTCTTTTTAATGCGAGTAGAAATTAGATTTCTGCATCGAAAATTAAAATAAAAGTGAATAAAAAAATTGAGTAATATTAATGTGATAATTTTATAAAAAATAATAGTATTTTGAGAGTAAAAAAAAACAATTTATATAAATTTTATAAATAATTAAATAATAATTAATAATAAATAATAATATAAATAATTAATTTGTTATTTACATGTGATGCGTATTGATATTTTTAGTGTTTATCAGTTAAAAATAAAAGATTTTTACACATATAACTCATTTAATAGGATTAAATAAAGATAACAGTTTAACATTTCAAATATTTTGCAATGTTTAGATTAATATTTAAGTTAAATTAAACTGACAAAAATGCCCCTTTTCTTTAAATTTAAAATCTCATTCTCATTTTTAAATCTAAAATATATTATACTCATAATAAAATATTAAAGTGATATATGATGATAAATGAGCCATGTTGTAATCATTTAGTTAGAGTTTGCTATTTTCTTGCACAATTTTTTTTATGTGTTTTGTGAAAATAAAAAGAAAAAAACACACACCCAATTAATTGGTAGATGGATTACATTACAAAATTTTCAAAAACATTTAATGTATAAAAACATTTGCAAACTCTTTCATAATTTATGATTAATATATTTTGTGGTTATTATTTATGTATAAAACATTTTATTTTATTTTAGATTTTGTTACTACAGTTTTAAAAATAAAATGAATTTTCATTTTTACCAAACATAAATATATATTTTTTAAAAAATGTTATTCACTGGACGTGCCTACTGCCTCTAGCACATTAAGTTACTTAACTTAAAAAAAATTGTAAAAAAATAAATAAAAAATGTTACCCATTCAACCACTATCATCTACCGGGCTATTTATTATACTTCATTATTCTCTATATATATCCCTACCCCCCCCACTATATAATATTGAGGATTGATGTTCCTATGATGTAAGAAAAAACTAAATTGAAAAATGAAGATGTAATATATCGGATGTTTTTCTGGTTTAGTTGTGAGTTAACTCGTACTATTAGTTTTTTTTTTTTGGCTCTTTGTATTTTTTGTTTTTATTTTTTTTGATTAATAAAATTAACTCTGCTTTTGGCCCAAAAAAAATATCGTTTTCTCCTACTCCCAGTGTAAAGAGATTTATTTTATTTATTTATTTTATACGTTCAAACGACGAAAAGATAGGTATATTTACAAACATGTGTTGGCACGAATGAGTAGAGGACTCGAACTACTATTTATATTTATTCATTATTAGTTTCTTTTAAAACTAATATGTTAATTTAGCATATATCATAGAGTCATAGACCTTTTTTTTTTGGAATTTTAGAGTCATAGACGTTATAATTAGAGACAGTCGAGTTGATCCATATAATTATCAAAACACGTTTATTTTTTTAATTGCATTAATAAAATGACATATCCTCACCCTCCCGCTAACGCATGTTTATTGTCAATGTGACCGCTAGACAAACAGTGTACATACTTACCATACACATGATATCATATGACAACATGAAAGCAAATTTGAAACAACTCAAGTTAATTGTTAACATACTCATATGATGAGATAAATTATTAAATTAAAAATTTAGAATAAATTTTCTTGTATTTTTTTACTAATTGTAGTTGAAATAACTACATAATCGCTCTTTTACAATTTTTTCCCTGTTTGAAATCTGACATGGCGAAGAAGGCTTAATCAACCAGCAAAAGATTACTCCTTGTAATATTGCAAATTAACGTGTTCATCAAAAATAATAAAATTACTGAACGTATTGAAAATGTTGAGTCTCAATTAATAAAAAAGATCTCCAAACTCTCGTATCACAGTTTATTCATATGTAAAAAATACACAAGAATTGAAATAATAAATATTTAATTAATACTAAAGATTTACAAATTGGTAAAAATACAAGATTGAAAATGAAAGTAACAGCTACAAGTAAAAAGTTATATAATAAATAGAAAAACTACGAATATGAAAGATTTCAATGTTTGGATATGCGTTGTTGTCCTTTTTTTTTGCTGTGACTTTCTCCTCTTTTTAGAGGTTTGATTGAAACGGTTGTTCCCATGAAATTTTAGAACTCATTCACGAAATATTAGGGATTCAATGTGCACAGTTTGTAAGATTTACGGCACAATCCTTCCACTCATTATGTGTTTTATTGTTGATTGGTAGGCTGTACATCTGAGACACTTATGAATAATGGTCATGTCCTTATGAGATTCAAGCCCCGTTGAGGTTTTTGTTTTTATATATTGCAACAGTTTGAACAGTGGCTTCGAGCTTTAAAAGATTCAAGGACCTGAGCTGATCTGATTAGGCTATTTTATTGTGATCTAGACCAGCCCTATTATTGGGCCCGATTCTTTAGTTACTCAGCCTATTTTATGTTATGGCCTTTGCAAGTGATATTTCAGTTTTACCCAAATACAACGCTTGAATTCTTAAACAGAGAAAATTCATATTTAATATCCAATCATATCTCGAATATGATTGCCTCAAATGAAAAAATACCGATGCATAATTTAAAAAAACTCAAACAAGTTAGATTTGCTTATTATTATTGGAGCCAGTGTCGAAATTATGTAAGATGGTAAAAATTAAGTACGTGATAAAATTTTAAAGTATGATTTAAAAGTTAATAGTTAAATTAATTGTTGAACTATGATCAGATAGATCATAAATAAAAATATTTTATTAATTAATTAAAATATTAATTCAATTATTCTAATTTAGTAGCCAGTTTGACCCAAATTTCAAAACTACACTAAATAAGACAAAAAATCTTGGTACAAAATGAATTGAATTCATGTGGCCCAAGGGGGAGATGAATTGAATTCCAAATTCATTCTGTTATTAATGTATGAATCCAGCATCGGGTGCATCCACTATCACACAAAAAATGAATAGTAATGAATAAATTAAATAAACGAAGAAGATGGAAATTAAATATAGAAAAGGAAGGAAGGAAAGAAATATACGCGTGGGAGCGTAGGGGGGCCTAACGGATACATGCGGATGTGGTGTCGGAGTGGACGAGGTAGGACCCACAGGGCACCAATGAAACATTTTTACAATTTCACTATCACCGATCGGCCACCGACGATTGTGTCGGGCGAATTTCATCTGACGCGGCTCCTTTTCCGCTCAAACTATCACTCCGTCATCAGCGTTCAAATTCTTGACCAAAACCAAAGAACCCTATACTAACCGTTTTCGTTGAAAAGTTGAAATGTATCTCTGTCTGTGTAGTTTGTACTTCGCGTCAAATAATGCTTGACACCTTATATTGACAAGCGGAACATTCTTTCTTTACTCTCCATTTTTTAAAAGAATAAAAATCTTGCTGATCCATTAATAGAGACAGATTTTTACTCTCATGAAACATGATTCAGAGGAAAAAAATAAATATTAGTAACCAATTTAATTCAAGCAATTACTACTTCTCTTTTGATAGTAATTAAATTTAAACAACCAATTATAATTTTTTTTATGCAAATTTTATTTACTGAAATTCAAATACTATAAATATTCACGACCTATTTTAATTTAAGTAATGATGGCTTTATTTTTACAAATGAACAGAATGAAATGAGCAATTATAACTTTTTTTTTTGGCAAATTTGTTAGAAGAGCTTTTAATTAAAATGCACTTTTTTTTTGTATTTTTCTTTGATAAGCATTTGACACTTAGTATTAATAAGTGAAGCATTTTTTCTTTCAAACCATTTTTCAAAGGAGTAAAACAAAGAGGATTTTTGCTCATATAAAAAATAGTTTAGGAAAATAATGCTACATTTATTGGTACTGAATCCCAACACTCATTGAAGTAAAATAGAGGCAAAAAAACACTTTAAACTTTTTTTGAATATAAAAAAATTGCCATGTTTTTTATTTATAAATAAAATTATAAATTTCAATAAGCATTTTTTTCAAATTGTCTCATAAAATCAATATTTTTTCACTAAACACATCTATTTTATTAATTACAGACAAAGGAATAATTAATCTAATTTTTAAACTTTTAAATATAATTATTATTTAACTAACTTTCTTAAATAATATAAGTTAATTTTTTTTATATTTAGAAATAGAGGATTATATGACATCTAATATATTTTGAAGATTTCAAAGACCATTTTTTAAAAGAATAAAAATCTTGCTGATCCATTAATAGAGACAGATTTTACTCTCATGAAACATGATTCAGAGAAAAAAAAAATAAATATTAGTAACCAATTTAATTCACGCAATTACTACTTCTCTTTTGATAGTAATTAAATTTTAAACAACCAATTATAATTTTTTTATGCAAATTTTTTATTTACTGAAATTCAAATACTATAAATATTCACGACCTATTTTAATTAAGTAATGATGGCTTTATTTTTACAAATGAACAGAATGAAATGAGCAATTATAACTTTTTTTTTGGCAAATTTGTTAGAAGAGCTTTTAAATTAAAATGCACTTTTTTTTGTATTTTTCTTTGATAAGCATTTGACACTTAGTATTAATAAGTGAAGCATTTTCTTTCAAACCATTTTTAAAGGAGTAAAACAAAGAGGATTTTTGCTCATATAAAAACTAGTTTAGGAAAAA